TAATTGTCTCCCGACGCACTCGAAAGCCCACGAAGCCCACCGCGTGTGTCCCGCTCTCGCGTTATCTCTCCGATTGTACCGAGAGAGCGCGCGGTGCCAGCCGGCATCCGTCAGATCAATACGACACGGAACGTGAAAAGCAGACACGAGCGCCGCTGCTCCAGATAACAAGGCGAGGACGTGGGGACGTGGGGACGTGGGGACGTGGGGACGTGGACCTGCCTTATGTGCCGGCAGGCAGAGGGTAGACGTCCCGACGGCCCCGTTAAACATTCAGGGACGCCTGCCGTAAATTCTTACGCGAGAGGGTAAATACACGTGTGTCAAGGGCGTCCTGGGCGATTGCGAAACTCCCGAGTATCCCCCCACTTTCCCCCTCGTTCCTTTGCTTCTCCTTCCCCGCACCGTCCTCCCGCGGTCTAGAGTCCGTCCAGGACATGGTCCGGCGATGGGCAGAGATCCAAGAGGAACGAAGTCCTCGTCCGGCTCTTCCGGTAGATGGCGAACCACATCCGGCATGACAGATAAGAGCGATCATCCGATATCAACGTTAAGAGTCCCCCCGTTGCGAGTGCCGTGTGCCCTGCTGCTCGGTCAGACGTTGAGGCGCATTGGCTCTACGTGCTATACGTGTCCGGGTGTTATGTTGAACGCGGTATAGGATCGCGCGAGGGCCAACGTGTTTTGGTCGTAAAACATCAGGAGAAACACGAACGGGCTGTTGCGTGCGTCTTGGGGATTTCGCGTGTTTCACGGGGCCGTTTGATGGGATCTAATAAAAAGTTTTAAGCCTCCTCGAGGCGGGAGGGGTAAGTCAAGAGAGAGGGAGGAGGCGGCGGGAGGGAGCGAAGGTGAGAGTTTTACGATGCTTTTCATCGACGCGACTTCCAATGGAGAGAGAGGGAGTGGGGAGAGAGAGAGAGAGAGAGAGAGAGAGAGAGAGAGAGAGAGAGTCGAAGGTAAAGGCGAAGTGATCGATCGGAAGAGGCTCTCTTGGTGAGGGATGCTCGGGATAGAAAGAGGGTGAGCTATCTCCCTCCCTCTCCCACCCGCTTCCCAGTTCCGCGAGGGAGGTGCCCGGCGTCCGCCTCTCTCGCCTCTCCCGTCTCTCTCATCGATACCTCACCGATATCTCGCACTCACCCTCTGAGATTTGCGGCCGGGATACACCCACCCTAGCCCCCTCCTCGTCCTCCCTTACCGTCTACCACTTTTAACAAGAAAATTTCCACCTAGCGAGCCACCGAGTACTGGGAAGGTAGCT